AATTCTGTTCGTAGTTTCCTCTGTTGAGGGCCTAAGTCCACAGGCTTTTTTTTTACTGTTCTATAGTTCTATCTGTATTTCTAAAAGCTGTCTTGCTCATTTGGAAGTTTTATTGGAGTTTTCTGGTGAAGCATGAATTTATTCTTTAAACTTCCAAATAGCTCAGGGTCTTTATTAAATAAAAACTTAATTTTCATTGTTTTAAAATTTTGTTTTGCTTTGGAGACAAGGTCTGGCTATGTAGCCCAGGGTAGCCTGGAATTCTCTGTAGCCCCAGCTTAGCCTCAATCTCCTTCCTCAGTCATGAGTACTCAGATTACAGGTGTGGGAAAGATTTTATTGGTTTTTATCGCCATTTAATTTTAATATGTGATACACAAGCCTTTTGAGCTAGATTTTAAAATTTAAAGGGTTAATTAAACAAATCCCTTGTCTTCAGAGAGTATATAGTCTTAAAGGATATATTGACTCTTACTGAAAACTTCAATAATTTTTACTCTTTTAATTTAATCCTTATTACTATTGTTCCATGCTTACTTATGTCTTCACTTATTGTGCATGCGTGTTAGGGAGCCCTGGGCCACTACACTGTATTCTTCCCTTCCACCATGTGCGTTCAGGGATTGAATTCAGTTGCAGGTTCAATAGCCAGTGCCTGTTCCCTCTGAGCAAGCTCGCCTGCTGTATATTGTTTGTCTGGAGAAACAGTCTTCCATTCTGTAGCTCAGGCTGTCCTGGAACTTATTATATAGCTTAAGTTAGTGTTCAAATCATGGTATTCCTCCTCCCTCAGACCATCCAGTGCTGGAATTCCAGGCTTCAGCCACCACAGCAGCCAAAGAAGGCCTTTAAAAGGTTAAGTGAGAATGAAGAGATTAGCGTTAAATGTTTGGAGTGGGTCTCCATGAGTCTGTAGAGCATTGCTGGGTGGTGGATGGACAAGGGCATCTAAATACATGGAGCAAATGTGTGCTAGAGCACACAGAGGATGGGGTTAGCCGAGGGTCAGAAGGCAGTTGCATTTCCACCTGCTGTGACGCCAGCAGAACTTTATATCAAATTAGTAAAATTTAAAACCAACACTATTGAACTATTGACCAATAAATATTAACTACATCAGCTAGAGAGCAGATACTTGCAGAGTTGAGTTCAGTTTTTAAATTAAATTTTATGTAGCTATGGTGTGTGTGTGTGTGTGTGTGTGTGTGTGTGTGTGTGTGTGTGTGCGTGCATGCATGTGAATGCCACAGCATGCATGTGGAGGTCAGGGAAGAGCTTGTGGGAGTTGGTTCTGTCCTTGCATCATGTGAGTTCCGGGAACTGGGCTTGGGTTGTCAGCCTAGACTGTGGTACCTTTTCTTGCTGAACCATCTCACTGATTCTGAACTGACTTCTTAATTAATGTTATTACTTAAATAATGGGCTGTGTAAAAATCCCAAAATATAATATGCAGATAGCGTGAAGAAAATTAAGACTAAAGTGAATTCAAGATGATGCGCATTTTCAAAATTATAACTCAAAGAGAAATGACGGTCCTTCCCTAAACCAAACAGCTTGGAGACAGTGGTAAAACCAGATGCTCTGGTGTTATGGACATCTCCTGGGGTTCTACATGACAGTGGAACCCACTATGGATCCAGATAATTGGTTCCCGTGGGAAGGAGAATGCTGCGGACTGCACAGTAAATCAAAAAGCTAGAGGCACTAAGACAAGACGGTGGAAGGGGACTGACTGTCCCAGGACACTGACGGCAGATGGGAGACGGACTGTAGCTCACAGGGCGGGCATATCAAGAAGGACTTTTAAAATCAAATTCTAGCCTGTTGTGATAATCACTTCACAGTGTGTACACGCTCCAAGATTGCATTGACACTTGGAATAAATACATCTTTGAACTGCCAAATAATGGTCAATAAGGCTGAGGGGCTAGCTCTCATGGTTAGAAGCCAGAGGGAGTGATTCCCTAGAGGCAGGGAAGAGGAAGGTTAAAGGTTAGAAGTGTGCACATTTGGGAAGAGGTTCAGAGCTGGTCCTGATGTGTAAAGGGGAGGAGAATACGGTTAGGGATGCAGAAATCCGCTTCAAAGAACAGGTGGAGACAGCTCAGATAGATGCTCTGTTGTGGCAGCTTCTTGTCTCCTTGCTGTGGAAAGCAGTGCCTGGCATGAGCAGCTCAGGGAAGGGTTTACTGATCACGGTGGGATAACGTGGCAGCTGGAGCATGGTGGCTCTTCACGTGGCACCCGCAGTTAGGAAACAAAGCGAGGCATGCTGGGATTCAACTTGCTTTCCATCTTTTATTCAGTCAGCGGCCCCCGCCCAAGGACTAGTGTTGCCCTTATTCAGGGTGAGTCTTCTCTTTTCACAGGAACCTGTCTAGAAATACCTTGATAGATACACACAGAAATGTGTTTCCATGGCGAATTTAAACCCATTCAAATTGGTAACGATAATTAACTGTTGCATCATCTAAGTGAGTGTATCTCACAGACTCAGAGACTGATGGATATAGAAGTCCAGCAGCAGACCAGAACTCTGGTCAGTGGGGTATCAGTGAACTCTGTAGGTTATTCTAGCCAGAGCACAAGGGCAGTTCAGTTAGGCCATCTGCGTGCTGCTTCTGCGTGATTGGGAAGGCATTCGCAAATTTAGGAAGAGCAAAAGATGTGGGTGGGCAAGAAGAGAAGTGGTAGAACAGCTAAGCGGAGGCCATGTCCGAGCTGAGAGAGGTTGGTACTCTCTGCAAAATGGTTGGCTGTGTTTCCTTTGGGAAATGGTTCTCAGCTTGTGGGTCATGGACCCTTTGTTATTCTGAGTATCAAATATTTACACTACGATTTAAAACAGAAGCAAAGTTAAAGTTATGGAGCAGTAGCAAAGCAGTCTTTTGGTTGAGGTCACTACAACATGAGACGCTGCATTAGAGGGTCTCAGCATTAGAAAGGTGGAGAAGCGCTACCCCAGAATGAGCGACTCTACCTAGAGACACAATAATCTCAGTGGTGGATGCCCTGGGGAAATGGCTCCTGTGGCTTGTGGGTCAATGACAGAGGCCGTCCTTCTGGCTTTGAGAAGCATGCAGTCCTGTCTTGGCAGATAAAGAACCATGATTGCCACAGTGAATGTTTACAGCGAGCCCGATTTGCCTCTGCCACCTGTGGCTCCATTCTCTTCATGGCTTTTACTGCTCTCCATGCAGAGAACAGAGAACCCGACACAAAACAACTGACCCCAGAAGAAGAAATTCTGTACTAGCTCATTGCTTCCTTTACCCACTTTCCTCACTCCCCCTTTCTCCCTCCCCTCCTCTCCTTTCCCTCTCCCCACTCTTTCCTTTCTCTCCTTCTCATTTTTACTGCATCAGTAGCCTCTTACTTGGTCTCCCAGCTGCCAGCCTCTTACTTCCTAAACTTATCTCCTCAACCTTCTTTGGCAGCCTGACACTGATACATGCTACAGACAGTCACTGAGGCATGAGGGGCCCTCACCACAAGGTGACAATAAGGGCAAAGTGTTAGAGATATGGAAGATACTTTACAACATGCCTTATCTTCAGCCACTGTCCCAGCCATTCCCAACTCCCACATTCAGGACCAGCAAGCCTTCTTAATTTTTGTGGCATTTCATGCACTCTTACCTATGACCTTGTAGCTTACTTTATGTTCCTCTTGTTTTTTCCCTATAAGATGTCTTGAAGTGCTATCCGTTCTCTAACTTTCTCCAAGCTTGCTCTTCCTTTCAAGGCATAACTGATTTTTTTTTCCTCCTGCATTCTATGGCACTTTGTATCACTATCAAGCATGGTGTTTGGAACATTATGCTGTGTTTATTGCACTTCTCTTTTCTTGACTGGACTTGGATTTCTTGAGTTGACAAGTAAGGCATTAGCCTGATAAGATGCCTTGGTTGGAGAAGCAGTACAAATATGAGGACTCAAATTCAAGTTTCTGGAACCCACATAAACTGGGCATGATAACAGGCATCTGTGATCCCAGAGTTTCCACGGTGAGATGAGGGACAGAGACGAGAGAATCCCTGGAAGATGTGGGGGCAGCTAGCTTGACAAACAGCGAAGACCACAAACCTTGTCTCAAAAACAAGGTGGATGGTGATGAGTGACACCTGAGGTTGCCCTCTGACCCCCACCATGCCCGATGTGGCCATAAACATGGGCACAAGATTAATAAAAGGTAAGTGAAGGCACACACAAGTCATTGTATTTAGCTTGTACTTGGCACTTAGGAGATATTCCATCCATTTCAGTTGCATCCATTTGGACCAGAGATTCTCTCCACAAGTGGTCCTGCAGAAGGAAGTGGAATTCTCCCGAGAGGGACGTGGGCGGCTCTCTGCAATGAGCTACAACAGTAACAGGGCTTTTTTTTCTTCTTCTTCTTCTTCTTGTGAAGTCTTACAATTAGAGAACTGGACAACTAAAGACTTCTAGAACATAGAATTTTGATGGGAAAATTGTCTTACAAGTGATTCTTTTTAATTTCCAGACAAGGAAACCAGTTTAATGTTTCTATCATGTGTAGCTTCTGCCGCCACTGCCACCACTACCACCATCCCAACCACCACCACCCCGACCACCACCATCCCAACCACCACCATCCCAACCACCACCACCCCGACCACCACCACTACGATCATCACCACTCTAGCCATCACCACCCCAACCACCACCACCCCAACCACCACCACCCCAACCACCACCACTACGATCATCACCACCACCTCAGCCACCAGTCTTTACAAATTCACGACTGTTAAATCATTTGGCGTTCCAGGAGAGAACAAAACAGTTGATATTAGTCTAGGAGAGCTTCATTAAGGAATGTTGATGAGTTTAAGGTAGAGTTTGATGAGCTGGAGTATTTGATGAGAAGTTCCAAGTGTTTTTTTCATGTGTTCTGTCTGATGACATGAACCTTCGGAGGACAGGGTGAGTGGGCTTTGATGTGTGTGTGTTTCTGAGGTTTCTTTTGTTTCCCACAGATTTCAAAACCTGCTGTGGTCGAGAAAGACATTTGTGGACACCATGAAGATCTATAACCACAGCTACATTTACATGCCTGCTTTTTCCATGAAGACGGGGACAGAGCCATCTCTCCGTGTGTATTACACGCTGAAAGATGTCGGTGCCAACCAAACGGTGCTTTTTGCCAACCCCAACTTTCTGCGGAGCATTGGAAAGTTCTGGAAGAGTAGGGGCATCCATGCCAAGCGCCTGTCTACAGGACTCTTTCTGGTGAGTGCAGCCTTGGGCCTGTGTGAAGAGGTTGCCATCTATGGCTTCTGGCCCTTCTCTGTGAACATGCACGAGGAACCCATCAGTCACCACTACTATGACAACGTCTTGCCCTTCTCAGGCTTCCACGCCATGCCTGAGGAATTCCTCCAACTTTGGTACCTTCACAAAACTGGTGCACTGCGGATGCAGCTGGATCCGTGCGAGGGGCCATCGCTCCAGCCCACTTCCTAGGGACTGCAGACGAGGAGAGGACCGGACGGGTATTTTTGCTAGCTTTTTTATGTATGTGACTTCTAAAAGGAACTGCCAAAGTGTGTCTTGGACTGGCATGATAGGAAACAAGCAGAAACCCAAGCAGAACTTCGATTTTGACACTGGCTTGGAGAACCGTAAGACAGAAAATGTTCTGGGGAATGTTTTTATAACGTGTTGTGGATTTGCAGTTGGAACACCAAGAGATGATGCTGACAGAAGATAAGATCCAAGGACCAGATGAACTCTAGTTGCTGAGGCCGAGGGGCTCATCATGCAGTGTGTGTGGGATGCTGACTGTTAGTAGACACTGGCAGCGTAATCATTTTAAAAGACCTGTCTTATTGAGACTGGCATCAGAACTATAGGTTTTAAAAATTATTATTTATTTTTGCCCTGTTGAGGGCTGTGGGTGGGTGGTGGTATAGGCTTACAAAATTCTTCCTGCTGATTATTGGGATTTGGTAAAACAAGTCCGTGTTCACTCTAGTTCCCTCCACTAGTGCAGTTTTAAGTAAGAATTGCTTCTTGCCTTTTTTTTTGGTTAAGTGTACTTAGCACGAAGCTCTGTTGAGTTTAGACTGTGTTGATTCATAGTCTAGATAACATGAGCCACTTGTCTCCTCAGAAGTTGAGAGAGAAACTTGATTTTAGAGAAACTCATGCCATTGGCTCTGTTGCTATTATTTTTTACAAAATCACTAGACATGCAAGTACAAAGTGGCAAAGGTATCTTCATCATTTAGTGAGAGGTGAAGTAGCTCACTCAGAGCCCAGAAGGCAGGGCCCTTTCTGTCTCTAACATGAATATTTCCCTTCAAGATAACTCATATGTACATACATATGAATATTTCCTCTCAAGAAAATGTATGTATATGTACACATGAATATAGACAAATACACTCTGACACACTCTACAAAGTAATCACAGGCTATTCTCTGTCAGTACTGAGTGTGAATGGCCTGGTGTCTGTAACCAGTGTTAGAAAGGTACAGAGATAGAGTATGGAATCCATTCCACGTTGGCGTAAGTCCAGCTGCCATAGCAGTTTTGCATGCCAGCACAGGGCGCAAGGCTCATCCTTCAATACACAGTCCAGAGTGAGAACTACTCTCTTAATCATACTGCCTCCTTCCACCCCAAATTTCATGAATGGGGCCTGCGTTGAGCATAGTGATATATAATGTGGCTCATGCAAGTAAGCAGGTAGGAGCCACTGGCTGCTTGTTTCCGGTGGGCCTGCTAATACAACTTGCACAGCATCTTTGGCACAACGGGGGACCTCTACTGGCAGATTCTGGCCAGTGTACTGTAGGTCAGGAGGCAAGCAGGGAGATCTCTCAGGAGCTTTGTGCTTTGAGGTGTGCTAAGCTTCAAGAAGCTGTAACAACTCATGTTTATTGTTCCCAATGTTGTCATTGTATAGGTAAACTTGACCCATATGCTCAGCTTCATCTTGAAGGTGGAACAGTTTATGGGCCTTGTCTATGAGAGATGGAGTCCTAAAAAGAGGGTTAACTCACAAGATAACAAACCCACTGAAGGATAGTCCATTTGGAGTAGGGGATTTCCACATGTGATCAAATATTCAGGTTACTGTAGAAACAGCATCTGAACGGAGGCTGGGCGGCACAGTGGTCCACAGCTCATGCTGATGTCTAGAGGATTCAGTTCGGAAGTTCACCAGTGTGCAAAGCTGGCTTAGTGTTCCCACCTGTGCGGCAGAAGCAGGCTCTCTAGAAGGCGGGGTGAGTTGGATTAGTCCTGTTTGTGCAACCCTAAATATAATTCGTGTTTTGAGCTACTGGTATTGAATAATTATCTGAGAAAGAATACATTCTTACCAATAAGCTTCATGAAAAGTGAAAAAGGGCTAAGAAAAGAACACATACAAAGGTTAATTAAATATGCATTCAGGTGAATGTGTTAATTTGTCGAAATCTAAATGAGAAACTCATAAAATCCACGCCTCACAGTTCACTGAGCATGCTTTCTAGGAGTTCTAACCCTCCATACAGTTACGGTTCCTGGAACAAGTTCCTGTAGTAGATTTGTGTGTTTAGTCTATACAGTTTTAATGCTATTCTGTATGGCACCTGAATTGCAGAACAGAAACGGTCACCACTGTTGACTAGATCTGTGCTTTTCTCCTGTGCTAATTGCCCCCCCCCCACGTGCCATCAGCCTACACTGTTGTTATGACCAAGAGTACTGACCGCTCGTAGTAGGGGGGAGCCATGCATGGCAGTCCAGCAGTAGCAGGTCAGCCAATTGCTGCAGAAGGTGGACGAACCCCAAGTTAGAGCAAAAGAAAAGTTTGAATGTTTATGTTACCTGGGACACAGGTAAAATGCTCATATCACAAACAGCATTGCTGTAACCTTTCGTTATTTTCTAGTGACAATCCACTGGTATGTCATATATGTAACTTTCTGTGTGTTTGGTTAGATGATGTAGCTAAGCAAGAGGTAGGTGTGTCTGTCTCTGTGTGTATAGCGGTACCTGTGTGTCTGTCTCTCTGTGTGTGTGTGTATCAGTGTCTGTGTTTCTGTGTATGTATAGCTTTTTGTGTTTGTTCAGCATCATTTTTAGTAAAATATGTGTTCCTAAGTAGAAACCTCCCTAGAATCATTCTGTAGAGCATTCTAGAATACTGTATTACTCTTAAGAGGTTGGGTACTATTTAATTCTGCTTATTGAAATTAATGTCTTCAGCTTTGGGCGTGGTCCATTATTTAATATATCTGACCTTTAACTTTCTGCTCAGAAAGAATTTGGCTCATGATAAAAATGTTTAATTTCAGAAAAAATTTAATTAATTTCAGTGCATTTGACAGGAGATGATACCTAACTCTACCACCAATGAAATCAATGCATTAAGTATCTCTCTCTCTCTCTCTCTCTCTCTCTCTCTCTCTCTCACACACACACACACACACTCACATGAAGACAGAGACAAAAACAAGATTGCTTTATGGAGGAAACTGCAAATGAGTACCCCAAATAGGAATTTTCATTTTAGCCAACTACAACTTGAGAATGGCTTTGGTTTTCATGCTCCCAAGTGAGAGTGGCCACTGTTTGATTCTCATCACACTTCTGTAAAATTAAGCTAGGTAAAGAGAGAGTAACCCTGCCAGAAAGAAAGCCTTTACCTGAAAGATCACTTTACAAAAGAGGACTCTCAGACACATACACTCACTGCAAAGGGCTTTGCCAATAGTGTGAAGCACCAAATTGTGTGTCGAAACTAGATTGTTCATGTCTATCACTTTGACAAAGAGGGGAGGGCACAGAGAGACTCTCAGCCCTTAAACCTGCTGACTGCCCTCTCAGAGGACCCGAGTTCAGTTCCTGACGCACACTGACCGGCACACAGCTGCCTGTCACTCCACTTCCAGGCCATCTGCTGGCCTCCTCTTGTCTCCATGGATACTGCATGTGCCAGCAGGAACATCCACGTCCACATAACAAATAAATACATCTTAACAAAGGCAGAGGACTTCTCTGAAGCAGCAGTGTTCGGGTGGCATCCTCTGTGCTTTGCTGGGAAGCCAGCCATCTAAGGTTTTCATTCCTATGTTTTAAAATGCCACATTTGTGGAATTTTTTTTTCACTGGCAAACCCTTCTCAGGAAGGATCTAATGAGAAAATCAGTCACCAGTATATGGAAGGGCCTTCACCTTATGAACTCCACTTCCCCACCAGAAACAGGTAAAATTACTTCCTGTCAAAAAGTCAGAGATCAGGGTCTGTCGGGAGTCACGCGAACACTTGAGGGCAAGTCTGAAGGACCAAAGTTTGAGGGTGCTGGTGTGTGTTCTTTCCTGCCCAGAGCACACAGAAGTCCGCCCTCAGATCTTCATGAGCTCTAGGCAGCCCACATCAGGGGTGGAGGCGAGTTAGCAAAGTCATGGTGCCTGCAGCCCCGATCAAGCATCTGACTGAGTCAGTAATAAATGACCTTAGACATTCTGGAAGCTTAATTCTGTTCTGTGCTCAGGAGAGGAAGAGGCAAGGTAAAAATGGAGGTGACCCTAGTTCCCAAATCTCAGCATCCAAGGGATCAGAGAGGTCTATGCATTTGTCCTCGATGTCTCTTTACCACCTATCTCTGCCCTACCCCAGCAGCTGGCTTCCATGGAGGGCTGAGCTAGTAGCCTTGTGACTACAGAGGTCTTGGCATGAAAATTTGCTGAGAGTTTACAATTTTGAATCACCGAAAATGTTTTGCTTTGATTTTGCCTAAGCTTGCACTTGCTAGTTTGTGTGTCCCATGGCAGAGTCTGGTCACCTTGACCCAGTTGTGGCCATGCATATGGTCATGAGGAGCAGAGTTCTTTTCTTTCTGTACATGGATGGACTTTCTGAGTCCCTGGAGCTATGGAGATAGCAAATACCCCATAGTTTCTGTGTTGTGTCTTTGAAAGCATGGAATGTTGGAGTTAAGAATGTGTCTGTAAACTTCTAAATGGGAGGGCACAAGATTTAGTCTCAGCCCCACACAGTGCCTGTTTTATAAGTAGACACACAGGCGCGCGCACACACACATACACACACACAGAGAGAGAGAGAGAGGAGAGAGAGAAAATATGAATAGTGTCTGCCTTATTCTCAGCCTTAACATGACATTTTCACACACATCCCAGAGATGAATGATTGATATGCACACATATGAATGGGAAGGTTATTCAAATTGCCTAACCTTGCTCATTGCAACAAGGAAGGAATATGTTCCTGCTTCCTTGTTTGGGTTTTCTCTGTTGCTACGATTTGTAGCTTCTTCTGCCTTTAACACAGAAGAATAAATAATATATTGAAGCAAACTATAGTATTGTGAGCATTTGAGAATATCAACCAAAGCCGTTGACTCTCACTTGTTAGAGCACAAGGAATTATATTTTATGGCTGCTCGTTTTTCTAAATGGTCAGTCTCACTGTTATGTTAAAAAGCCTTCCTGGTTTTGCTTTTCAGTTGAAGCTGTTAAGATTCAACCAATGACCCAAAGTTGTCCAAGAGTTTTATGGTGTAATATTCAAATACATTGACCATGCTTTTTCCAGCTTCCGTGTAATTAGACTTCCTCCAGGTATCTGTCTCTTTCAAATGTTTTATGTAATAACAATAAACACCAAGAGATGTGACTTAGTCCAAAGCAGAGAAAACCGGATTCAGAAAATTCAGGATTTCTCTGTACAGGTAAAAGAAATGAACAAAAAAGTACAATAGAAAAAAGGTTTAACCAAAATGAAAACTAAGAGAAAGTAGTGATTCCCCCCCTCCAGAAAGGATCTATTGGGAGGGGTCTCGGCCTCACAGGTAGCTCAGCAGACACGAAGGAAGAGCTGTTGTCTTAAAATGCCGTTGCAAGAATGGAATGGCTTCAAGACAGCAGAAACGTGTTGCTATATCATCATTAGGGCTAAGACGAAAAGATGAGAGGTGAAGCCTGAGCGTGGATTTACGGCTGTTGGAGGAAAGACTCAAAGCTGGTTCCTGTTTTCTCCTGTGGGTCTTGGCACCCCCAGGTTTCTGCCCTCTGTGGGCCCCTGGGTGCCTGAGCTGGGTGAAGTAAGTATCCATGTATCCCTCTGCCACCTGCCTATTTAGTCATACTCTCAAGGTGAGTTATAATTTAGCTCTCCCGTCAGGATGGTGCAGCAGTGATGGGGAGCATCACCTTGACGCTGACCGCTGGATGGGCACCATACAGTGGGCATAGCAAGAGTTAGTGTCAGCTTCCTGTCCCCAGGGTTCCCAACAGAGGCAATGGCAAGTTAGATTCATTATCCGTCATGCCTTAGTTCAGTCTCAGTCTCTCTCCCGCTCTCCCTCCCTCTGTCCTTCCCTCTCTGTTTCCCCTTCCCTCCCTCTCTCCTATCCCCCTCTCTCTCCTTCCTTATGTTTTTTTATGCCTATGAAAAATATAAAAGTAACTGATTTGGTAGTGTTGGGGAGTGGCAGAGGGTGCCTTAACTTTTCCTGGCTTGGCTCCCCACTTACATATTTCCTTCATGTGTTTATTACTTTGCATGTGTTTCCATGTCTGTCCAACTTTTACCTTTATTATCAGCAAGGACCCTTTTACATGTAGCAAATAGGACTGTTTTACAGACATTCACAATAGTACATAGGCCTTGGAGAAGTCTGAGGATGGTGTGTAAATACGCTTTGCTGCGTTGTGGAGCCTTTTTCTATGGTCTTTTAGGTGATAACCACAGATCGATAACTAGAGTTAGAAATTCTTTTCTAGAAAATTCCAGCATTCATGGAAACAAGTAGCCAGTCTATCACTGTTTTTCATTCTGTCTTCAGCACTGATAAGTTCTCCCTCCACAGTTAGGATGGCTGATGGCTACCATAGTGCTCTGTAGAGATTTGACATAGGAGGAGGGAGAAAAAAGACATACAACGCACTATTTTAAAGCCTGCTTCATCTTAAAAAGTTCTATCATAGTACTAGACTTACAGCTACCATGCAGCATAGTTTGATCTGCAAAATATTGGGGAAATATTTTCACCTTTGGCCTCTATCATTGCTTATTCTAGACTATTCCACATGTATACGAGCTGTTTTATCAGTGTAAATTTTCTGAGGTTGGATAAGAGTGAAAACAAGAAAATTCAAATACTCTTTCATAATTTAGTCTACTGATCCGTGGCTGTAATAATTCTGGGAAAGATTTTAGATCAGACTATAAAATTGAAGTCATCTTTGAGGTGTTTGCAGAGTGGCTTCTTCCGATTAAAGCCAAGCATGATTGATAGGAAGTGTGGTGTAACCAGTGCTGTTTTAGTAACCAATGTTCTTCATTTCTTCTTCCTTCCTATCTTCCCTCCCTCCCTCCTTCCTTCTTCCCTCCCTCCCTCCCTTCTTCCCTCCCTCCCTCCTTCCTTCCTTCCTTCTTCCCTTCTTCCATCCCTTCCTTTCCTTTTAAAAAGAATTTCATATAAAATATAGCAGGTAAGAAACAATGTTTAATTGGTACTTTTATGGTGTGACTTGAAAAAAATGGTGCCTATTCTGTTGGCTGAGATGAATAGTGATGTGTCCAGAGGTGGCTGCTGGGAAAATGTCTTTTCTTTTGTGCGTTTATAAATCGTGGCTGGCAGTGAGAAGATTAACTAAGTCTCAGTTTCTCTACCTCCCTTCCCTGGAGAATATTTGGAAATGTACCCTGTTAATAAAATGGGCTTTTTTTTTTCAAAGCAACTTGTGAAGTCCTTTTATTCCTCTGACGCACATCTGCTCTTTCCTCCTCCACTTTCTCTGTGCTTTGTAACTTTCTGACTGCCTTGTTTTTACTTTTCCTGCATGGGTGGAAGTCACTCTGCTTAGTAAGAATACTGTCTTAGAAGCTTAGGATACAGGGCTGGTGAGGCTGCTGGGCGTGAAGGGAGCCTGCTGATGAGCCTGACAGCCCGAGTTTGAACACTGGGCTCCAACCTGCACAGGCGTGCTGTGGCATGTGCCCACACAGGCACACATACACACATGATTCGTTTTTAAAAATCCAATACAAAATTTAAAGGAAAATATCTATAGATTATAGTAACTGTCAGTAACAAGATCACACAGGGCTGGTGAGAAGCCTGGCTGAGTGGGTATGGCCACTAAGCCTGATGACCTGAATTTGATTTCTGGAACCCTCATGGCAGAAGGAAAGTTGTCCTCTGCCCTCCACATGTATGCCGTGTAAATACATATAAAATAATTAAAATACATAATCGTAAAATAAGCAAATGTAATTATTATTATTTTTTTGTATGGTGTTTGCCTGCATGGATGTCTGTGCACCTCATGGCTACGGTTTCTGAGGCGGGCAGAAGACAGCAGCAGATTTCCTGGATCTGGAGTTATGAGAGGTAGTGAGCCATCATGTGGGTGCTGGGAACTGAACT